TCATAGGATCCATTCTATTGGGCTTTGGACTATTTAAATAGCCCAAATATCATTTTTCATATCTAGCACCAGGCAATGGTGACCCTATAGAATGAACTGATGATCTTAATCATAGTGATCCTTGATACATCTAGTAAACGCCCTTATCAAAGACATAATTCCTTTAGAGGATGCTGACAAAAACGTCATCACTAGCGTGCTAACAGAGCTGAATTAAAACATGTCACGGAACGAAGGCCCAAAATTCTCATACCCTTGGGAAGATGTAACAAAGAGGCCAATCGTAAGGCTAATCCACGAGAAACACTAGACGAACGCCACCAAAACTGAGCTTACAAGCCATCGATGACACGAAAAATCGAGGAAGGAACCTTTAAAACTTAATGTGATTAAAAGAGACGACCAAAACTAAATTAACGATGACTAACTTTACTGACTATGACAAATGAAGCGAACCAAAATCAACCAAACAGCACAAAACCTTATCAACCAAAAACTGAAATTCGAAGACTTTGTGACACCCTAAATCCCCCGACAAACCAAGATAGGGACCAAAGGACTCCCGACATTGAAGTTTCAAACAATGAGCCAAATAATCACGATAGGCGGGAGGGGTATTTGAACTAAACTTAACAAACGACTTCTGTAGGTTAATCATCTAGCCTGACATATCACAAAGATCGTCTAAGGTACCAAAAACATGGTCCCCAAGCATCAGGAGAAACCTAGAAAAATAACAACAAATCATTGGCAAAGAACATGTTGGGGTTTGGTGAGTCCGACTCACCGCGGAAACAACCCCGACCCAAGGAACCACTCGTAATTAATAAAACCATAAAGCATAAATAAATAAGCACAAGAAAAGGAAGAACGAATCATACCCTTGAAGCGAGCTTCGCCCTCTCAAAATGGGCTCTTACTTGAAAGCCTTGAGCACCGCAAATGCCGTGCCTCCAACGGTATCCACCCACAAAGGACGAACACGACTTTTTAGGTCCGCTACCTTGGAGTTAGCAAGGTCCGACCAAAACCCAAGTGTTAATGGAGTTTAAGAGTTTTTCCCAAAATATGGAATGCTCTTTCTAACTCCCACTCAAGCACTTTACTCCAAATCCCAAGGTTGGTATATATAGAGGAAAGTATAAGTGGGAATTTCTATCCCATCAATGTGGAATCATGAAATTCCACAAGCTAAATTAAATTAAAATTGCAAACTAATAATAAATCTACAAGTGGCATTACCATGTGAAATGGGTTGGTGAGGACCACATGGAGAGTAGGGGACCATACTTGCTCCCCACTCAATACTCTCCTTGTGCCACATGTCCTTACCCACTTGCTCCCATATTCCTCAAGCTTCCCCATAGTGACCGGCCCTATGGCCCATTCACGAGCCCAGCCACGAGCCCAGCCCGAGCCCAGCCCCGCACCAAGATGCGGGCTGCTGCTGTGCGCGCAAGCCACGCACTTGGTGCGGGCTTGCTGCTGTGCGTGGCTGCTAGTGCGTGCGCTGCTAGCACGCCTAGCTTGCGGTAGCTAGCTACTGCACGCACCACGTGCACGCGGCTGCTAGCTGCTGCTGTGCGTGGCTGCTAGCACGCACCACGTGCACGCGGCTGCTAGCTGCTGCTGTGCGTGGCTGCTAGCACGCACCTAGCCAGCATGCTAGGCTCAGCTTGGTGCACTTGCTAGCCACCTATGCTTGGACATTTTTGCCCCTAGCATTCGGATGCTCGGGGCACTCCGATGCTAGGGGTATTTTGGGAATATGGTCGATTTATTATTATTTTGCGCATCTCGTCTTTTTATTATTTTTGACTCGACTTCCGACGATCGGTTTTGACGCTCCAAGCTCGAATTACCGACGTCTGAATATTTAACACTCGGGCGACGAATTAATTTCTTCCGAATTAATTCGTCGAGTCGGTTCGTATATTTTGCTTGGGTGTGACCCGAAGGGTTCAGTCAAGATTAAGCTGTAATATTAATATTAGTGATCGGAATCGGCTCACCCAAGTATTCCGATCACTTGATCTTACTGAATATATTAGCTTTCTAATAATTCTGAACCCGCTATCAGAATAATACACTTGTTCGAAGGACACCATTCTTTCAGAACAAGTGAGAGATAAGAGGGCTCTTCTAGATATCCGAATACGTGAAAGAGAGACTGATCCTCTACTAGGAGAAGCATAGCTAAAAGTACTTCCATACAAAGGACAAACAAGTAAGAGGAGAGAGGATCCCCCTGATGGAGGCCACATTGGTGCTAAAAGGGATACTAAGGATCCCCATTGACCAAGACCTGATAAGAGACTGTCGAAACACATTTTTAATAATATGAATCCAATATGAAGGGAAATCAATGGCATATAAGACACGGAGCAAAAAAATCCCACCAAACTCTATCATAAGCCTTATTCATATCTAGCTTTAACACTGCATAGAAACGCTTCCTATCTTTAGAAGAATTCATGGACCGTTAACGCATTGTCCGATAATAATCTCCCTATAACAAAGGCATTTTAAAAGTTCGAAATCAAATAGGGTAGAACTAAACTGAGACGGCTAGTGAGACATTTTGCAATGTATTTATAAAGGACATTGCACATGCCAATAGGTCAAAACTGAGACACCAATTTTGGACATTTGATCTTAGGAAGGAAACCCAAAACCAAAAACGTGTGATTCCATTCCTTTAGCATATAACCATGAGAAATAAGTACTGAACAACTAAAATGACAAAGGGCGTCCTACCAATGAGTCTCGAAGAAAGCCGAGGAAAAGTCATATAGCCTAGAGACTTATTATCCTCAATACTAAACATTGCCTTCTGAATCTCAAGAGGTGGTGTAGATAGGGAAATTAACTGTCGCTGTTGCTGAGAAGGAGAGACACAAGAAAGATTTAGCTTATCCCACCGTGGAGACTCAAAACCCAAAGGAAAAGTTTGAGTCGAATAAAGATCCTTATAGAAAGAGAGAATCGGAGAGCGAATACCTCCTAGATCACTAACCCATAATCCATCATTGATATTCATACTGTGAATCATGTTCCGACAATGACGAGACTGAAGTCAATGAACCATAAAAAAGAGCAAGCGAGAGTTATTATCCCCTATAGCATCCCATTTGACCTTAACCCGCTGACGCCAGTAAAGAAAGGCTGCTTGTGCCTTTTCTAACTTTTCGTCCCTAGTAGAGAGAAAAAGACAAATTAGAGGCGACTTGGTTAACTGCTGTTACTAGATATTTCAAGTTTATACCCTAAGCTTTGCGAGGGGAGACACACCAATTCTTTAAATAATCCCTAGTCACAGACAAATGTCGGGAGAGAGCAAACAAACGTTGGATATCCAGCAAATACTTGTGACAAAGTAGCTTAAATAAACAAGTGGACATTCTTCGCTGTTAAGCACACCAATTCTCTATTCTATAAGGCCTAGAAGTAGAACTTATAGACTCCGAATCCGATAAAATAAATTGGCAGCATGGTAAAAAAAGAGTATAGGTTGATGGAAGATCTTCGTATCTGGATGGTCAACAATCGACTAATGAGAAGCATAATCTCTATCTAAACGCTCAAAATAGGATTTGAATCCATTATGTTATTAGTCCAAGTAAACAGAGATCCTGAATAAGGAATATCAACTAACCCCATCTCCAAACGGGAATTAAATCCCTTCCACCAATTTTATTGGAAAAGTAATCTACTATATTGAAATCTCCCAATAACAGTGCATTAGGATGGACATAAGGATATCAGTGATTTTGTGCCAAATTGCTAATCTATCATCAACATGCGGCGAGCAGTATGGTGGTTGTGAGATGAATAAGGTGCGGTTTCTAGGGCTTACAGGGAAGACAAAAATTTTAAAAAAAAAAAATTGTGGAGGCTAAGGTTGGATCAAAATCTAAGTTGTGATGGCATGTTAGATAATATGAACTTCTTCAATTGGAATGTATTCCATTAATTCGTATATATTGCAATATAGGGTTATAAAGATGAATCTTAATCACGTTAGCAAATCTCAAAAGATATTTACAAAATATTTACAAAACTATATTCTTCTGTATAGTATAATATCTAGAATATTTATCATATATTTTATCAAGAATGTACACCACATAAAAAGCAAGGGATATGATATAGTTATATTGTACGCAACTCTCAACAATCAAAAGCTATATAAAATATTGGAAAAATTAACAAAAATAATCCGAACTATTGACTATCTTCTCATTTTAATCCGAACCACTCTTTAACTTAGAATAAACCAAAGTATAGGGGGTATTTGCTCATATTATTTTAGGTAAGTAAGCAACCTGTTAAACAGGTTAAATTATATGTTTAGGGCCCACTTTTAATTTTTTAATGGCATTTACTTCTTTTCTCTGCTATCACCACCCAAACTATAGTGGAGTATCAATCGTGGTTTTCCTCCATGAAAGTTCCTTCATCAAAGATCAATTTCACATGTATGACCTTTTATTTTCAAATTATGTCATCAAATTTTGTTAATTTCAAGTTTTTTTCTCTCTTTTATATCTAATTATGTATTTCCTTGCTTCTAACATTCCATTAAAATTTCAATTGCAATTGATGTTATTGGGGCTTAGTGGCGATATACATACATGGTAAGTTAACGCAACTTTCAATATTTATCGTATTTCAAACCTAATATATATACTATAAAGGGGAGTTTTTTCCCGAGTTTTTAGAGAGCCACGTAGGATTTAATTTTTTCAGCGCGCCAGGTAGGATAATAAATTTTAGTGGTAGCCAATTAAATATGAGATTATTAATTTCTTTTAGAATTAAATAATTTAACTGACACGTAAGCAAAATTGGTGAATCAGATAATCCAGTTTAAATTAATTAAATATAAAATATTATCTTTTAATATCAGGAATTTTATCTAAATATTAACAATTTTTAGCACATAAATTCAAACAAACCATGCATCGCACGGGCTTCATCTAGTTTTTTCAATTATTTGAAACTGCAATTTGGGGATGAATTTTTTTGCCTCGCAACCTCTAATTACATGTCAATTTGTGAAATTGTGTTGCTAAATTGCGTTGCTTTTTTTTTTTTTAGAAAGTATCTAAATTCCGCTTCTTAAAATTTCTAAAATAGCTGTTAAATTGCGTTTCTAAATCATGTATGTTGTTAAAATTAGGGATTTTCTACCTTAAAATTCTGGCATGGTGGTATGTTTAAGAGGCTTCCTTCTGGGCTAAAGTATGTTGGTGGAGTGGAAAAATCATTTGATGTAGATGTTGATGTTGATGAGCTTTATTGGTTTACTTTGGAGGAGTTGGCTAAAAAATATGGTAATTATTTAGTGATTGATGACATATATTACCTTGAGCCTAATGCAGAGAACTTTGAGTTGAAGAGGGTTTATAGTGATAATGAGGTTAGGACTTTGTCTGCCATTGTTTTAAAATGTAGGTGTGTGGACTGTTTTATTGTTTGTACTGCTCATGTAACAAAATTGGGTGGTGATGTAGAAAAGGCATGTGTAGGGGATGTTGTTACCAAAACAAGAAAAAAGTTGTCTCCTAGGAAACAGAAAGTGCCACTGAAAAACAATCAGGGGACCAGTTTGGGACTCTAAATAAAGAATGCAAAAATGGAGATAATGGGTCTTTGGTAGTTGGATCTAAACCCCCTTTATTAGTTACATCTAAAGCCCAAATTGAATTTTATATACAGGGCTCTGAGCTTCATCCCTACCCATCCCAACAAACTCCTATTACAGCTTCATTACTAACAAAAGAACCCTATCCCCCACAACAGTTACTGCCCTCACAACCTGAAAAATCTCAAACTAAAAAAAAAAACCTGAAATTTTTGATGAATGATTGAACACATTGGATGATCATCCTAGTCCTATAACAATTTATGAAACATATGCTGATATAGCTGCTTGGAATGCTGAAAATAAGGGAGGTGACAATGAGTTTCGATTAGATCAACCTGTTAACCAAGACCAAGATGAGGCTGACATTGAAGAGGAGGTGGTTGATGAAGAATTTACAGTTTTCTCTGGTGGGGATACCGATGATGATGAGTACAAAGATTCTAGAGAGAAGATAGAGGCTTGGAATGCTAAGGCCTTGTCCATAGCTAGGGAGTTACAAAAAAAGGTTATCGACGATGGACTTTCAGGTCAAACACAAGCCTTCTATTGTAGAAGAAGTTGTTGATCCTAAAGGGTTTGTTAGTGACTATGAGAGCAGTGGTGATGAGTTGCGATCTACAGATGAAGCTGATGAACATTGCATAAGGAATCGGAAGGAAAACAAGAAATCAGTTGTAGTTAACGCTCAAACTGATTTCTCAAAATTCAGGTGGTATGTTGGTATCAAATTTCCTAACATACAAGAATTTAGGGAATGTGTAGTTAGATATGTAGTTGCTCAAGGGAGAAATCTTCTTGGGTAGTTAGTGACAAAAGCAGAAATCAAAGACTTGGAGTTAAATGCAATTCTGGTTGCCTTTTTAAGCTTTATTGCAGTTGGGACAACGGAATAAAGTCATTGGTTGAGAAATCGGTGAAGGACCAACACACTTGTTATAGGAATATGGAGGCCAATCGACAGCTAAAGTCAACCTGGATCACAAAACAACTTCTAGAATTATTTAAATCGAGGCCACATTGGCCTGCAAAGGAAATTGTAGAAACCATTAGGATTGCTTACAAAGTTTTAGTGAAAGTTCCATTTGCTTACAAGGTGAAGTACTATGCTCATAAGCTACTTCACAGATCAATGAAAGAACATTATGCCAAGCTAGGTGCGTATTTAGCAGCTCTGAAACAATCAAGCCCCAACAACTACTTCAAGCTTAAGACAATCAAAACCACAGATCCACCCATATTCCAAAGGGTATTTTTCTATTTTGATGGTGTTAGGCAAGGTTGCATCAATGGTTGTAGGAAAGTGCTCTGTATAGATGGATGTTTCTTAGAAACCTTTTTGGGGGGCATGCTCTTGAGTTTAGTGGGTAGAGACGGAAATGAGCAAATGTACCCTCTTGCTTGGGCAGTGGTGGACAGTGAAACAAAGGATTCTTGGACTTGGTTTCTCAAACATTTGAAGAAGGCAATTGGAGAAGCAGATGGTGATGGCTGGACAATTATTTCAGGTGGGCATCAGGTTTTCACACATCACACTTTTTTCTTCTTCTTTTTGTTTGCTTGCTTTTCTTTTTAAAAAAAAAATTCTTACAATCATTATATATTTATACTTTCATTTGTTTTCAAACAATAATTTATGCATTGTAAGTTGTTTTCTATGAAGGGTATATTGACTGCTAAAGCCGAGCATAAACATTGTAGTCGACATATTTTTGCAAAATGGCACAGGGAATTAGGGGTGATGAGATGAAAGCAATGTTCTGGAAAGCTGCAAAGGCATACAATGAAGCAGATTACAAAGATTCTTTAGAGGAGATGGAGGAGGTCAACCCCGGTGCTGTAATTGCATTCAACAAACACAATCCCAACTTATTTTGCAGGGCATTTGTGAAGACTACAACAAAGTGTAATGTAATTTTAAGTAACATGGCTGAAACATGGAATGGGTATATCATACATGCACGAAATAAACATCTCATAGACATGCTTGAAGATATAAGGGCAGCTCTCATGCAAAGAATGGTGTTAAAAAGAAATGCTCTGGAAAAATGGACTAATAAAATATGTCCAAGAGTTACAGATAAACTGGAGAAAGAGAAGGCTGAAGTTGACTACTGTTGTGCACTACCTTCTAACATACATCAGTTCCAAGTGAACCACAGGCTGGACTCCATGACAGTTGATTTACAAGCTAGAAGCTGCACGTGCAAAATATTGAATTTGACTGGAATTCCATGTTATGCCATAAGTTGTATTTTTCTTATGCATCAAAATGCTGAAGATTGGGTTGATGATTGGTATAGCAAGGAAACCTATCTAAAAATTTATAGTGGTTCAATTAATCCATGTCCAGAAGAGAGACACCAACCTACCGTTGTTGCTCCACTTGATCCACCACCAATTAGAATAGGACCTGGGAGGCCTAGGAAAAACAGAAGGAAGCATCCTATGGAGGACCCTAAGAAAAAGGGAAAGCTAACAAAGCATGGAATAGAGATGGAATGTAGTGATTGCAAGTCAAAAAATCATAATAAAAGGAAGTAACCTGACAAAGACAACATTTAATCTTTGGAGCCTGTTGCTAAGAGAGAAAGAGGGAGGCCAAAAAAGGATGCTAACATCTGGGTGGTTTTAAGACTTTTAACTGAACCAACACACCACAATGCCACTGCAGAGCCTTCGAAAACTGGCAGAGGAGGAAGGGTGATTAGAGGGGGGAGGGGTAGTAGACATCTGGGTGGTTTTAAGACTTTTAACTGAACCAACACACCACAATGCCACTGCAGAGCCTTCGAAAACTGGCAGAGGAGGAAGGGTGATTAGAGGGGGGAGGGGTAGTAGACATCTGGGTGGTTTTAAGACTTTTAACTGAACCAACACACCACAATGCCACTGCAGAGCCTTCGAAAACTGGCAGAGGAGGAAGGGTGATTAGAGGGGGGAGGGGTAGTAGACATCTGGGTGGTTTTAAGACTTTTATCTGAACCAACACACCACAATGCCACTGCAGAGCCTTCGAAAACTGGCAGAGGAGGAAGGGTGATTAGAGGGGGGAGGGGTAGTAGAGGTGGTGGAAGAAGTGGTGATGTACGTGGTGGAAGAGGTGGTAGCAGGGGTGGAGCTAGAAGGGGTGGTGGAAGGACAGGTGGAAGAACTAATATGCCTATTGGGAGTGGAGTATTATTCAATGCTGATGGTAGTGTGCAATCTTTACATTAATAATACTTGGGTTATGTAATTTTGATCTTTGTATTAGTTTAGGTAAGTAAGCAACCTGCTAAACATATGTTTAGGGCCCACTTTCAACTTTTTAATTGCATTTACATTTAATTTCATTTTTTTGATTCATCTTTCCAAAAATAAAACATGTACATACTAGGAAGCAGGGGAATGAGCAGTAAGTGCGGTAGTACATGCAATGTAATGGATGTGTGTAACTCATTTGAATTGAAATGAACAAGAATTACGTTGTACTTCTGAAAATTTCAAAACATTGTATTATGCCTTGATAATTTCATCATTCCAAAATTTCAACTTCTAGAAGGGCATAAAAACTAACCTTACATATCAAAATTCATAACAAAAGAAATGTGATCTTATAAAATGATCTAACAATTCCAGCCAAAATGATCACAATTATTTTATTTATGATTATTATTTATTATGTTGCTTGATACATTATTTATTCTTTATTGCTTGATCACACCTTTGATGCATGTTTAAAGGGAATTGGTACTTGTAATCATGCTTAATAAGATAATTAATAATCTTGTTTAGGGTTAATATGATTATAAATTCAAGTGATCGCCAATAATAGATTTATTTGTGCATTAAATTCAACCAACATAGATAAACAGGTTTAGGGTTAATCCTACTGATTGCATGTTAATCAGAAAGCGCACATGAATACGATCAGAATAAAGTAGAGGCCTATTATTAGGGCAGGTTCAATCTCTTTTAGGTTGGATTTGTACCTTCATCCCCGGACCCTTAATTGGTTCATGACCTTATGGAGTTGACGATCTCTTGGATCGTTAAAGGGTGTAGCCTTCATCCTATGAATGGTTTACAAGTTCCTTAAAAACTTGTTGGCGACTCTTTTGCTCTATCTTCTTCCCTTTTGGACGCCACCGTACTTTAGTGTATGATCACAGTGGGGTTCGAGCTAGTGGGATTTAAGGCTTGAAATTATTCCCTACAGTTTTTGGCGACTCCACTGGGGAGGATTTCTATTTTAATTCCTGAATTTGTTTTAGAATGAGTGGATGAGACTCGAAAAGTTCTAAGTATTTCATGTGCGTAATTTTGATTAACATTATTGTCATATGCGTAAAAAGGATCTCATTGGAAAGACCATCCGTAATGAGTCAAAAATATAGGATTTTACACGTAGGAAATTTGAGAAATGTCTTTCACAACTAGGACTGAAATAACACCACGCAAAACTGGAAGATTTTATCGAGCACAGAAAGTTGCTGAGGCATGTGGGAAGTAGCGTCAGGGGCCAGAGCTTGGCGCCACACTTTTAGCCGTAGCGCCAGACGCTAGTATTGGCGCCAGGCGCTACAGGTAAAAGTTGGCACCAGTCTCTGTTTGCTGGCGCCAATTTCCCCCAATACCGAACCAGAAATATGCATTCTGATTTCGACCAGTTTTTCGTATTGTTTGCTCGATCCTACTTCCTGATTGAATTTTTTCTCACTTTTCTGAAACTCATATGTGTTCTACATATGGACATAACCCTCTGGGAATTCATGCTCTATCTACCCGATTGAACGCTCCATGCAACAAAGGGTACATCCGAGAATGTTGAATTCACCAAACCATGGAAGCGAGTTTTTTTTCTAAAACTCGCGGTGTCCCATCCACTCGCGCCAACCCTTCACGTTTAGGCTTCCGCGCGGTGCATCTGAACAATTAACCATGGACCCTCTATTGACTAAACCATATCCCAAACTTTAGAGAACTAGAGCCATGGTTAGGTTGCAAACGCATTGCATCATATTGTGCCTACTTGACTACTTGTGCATTATTTGTTGTGCATACTCTATGTGATTTTTCCTAACCGTTTGTTTGACTTGTGTTAAGAATAAATAAACTAATTAATGACTAAAGGACTTTGTTTAATTAATTAATTAATTAATTTGAGCTAATAAATAAACATAAATCCGAGTCATAGTTCCTTTAAGTCAACCCGGATTTTTATTCTCGTATACTGCACAAGCGTCAACTTGTTTTGGTCCTAGCCGGAGTTCTAGCAAGAACTACGAGTCGTACAGCCAATGGATCTGTAGCCCCGAGTTGTTTCTTTAATTTGGAGTTGGTTTCATCCCAATCAGAGTCGCAGATAAAACGTTATGACTAAAATACCACAGCCTGTCCAGTTTAATGCATATACGTGAAGTCTTAACTTAGTCTTTGCTTGAGTCTAGTTACATATTCTAGCCACACGGTCATGACACGAGTCTTAACATATCACCTACACTCACTAGTCTTAGCACACACTTTGATTATACATCACCATGGTCATGTCTTAGGTTCATGCACAAGTCGGTCTTTTCCATCATTTGAGTTGGGGGGTACATTCTATTCCTAATTCTTCATATCCCTCCATCTAAATCTTCTTTCACATTCTATTCCAATCTTTCTTCACTTCCTCCATCCATTGCATGTTGAATAAAGTTTGAGTCAAATAATTAACAAAGAATATCCCCAAATTCCTTTTCCACAATACTTGATCGAGGAGAGAAGGGCGATTAATCAAGGACAACCTCTTTATTCAAGTCTCGCTTTTCGATAAACCGATTCGTCAAAAGAGGAAGGCTAAGAAGATAATGGCAACTCAAGAAGAAGTCAATGATCTTAAGAACCAAGTGACTAACGTGACTGAGACACTGAAACTTCTCGCACTTAGGGTCGATGATCCCGTGAAGCAACAACAAATGAACCTCATGCAAGAGAGTCTAAGCAAGCTATCTAGTGACTATAAATTTCAGGGCATGAGTTCACAAGGGGTCTCGCTGGACAAGGAACTTCATCCGCATAAGTTCAACGCCACTGACATCCCTAATTCAAGGCAACAGATAACCCTTACTTCCATCTAAGAGCTTTTGAAACTATAATGAGCATTAAGGGTATCGATAAGAAGGTTTTCCCCTCTCTGTTCCCACTATCTCTTGAAACCGTTTGCCAACAATGGTTCTTCTCCCTTGACAAGGAGAAAACCTCTACCTGGGAATCGATAGTGAACGCTTTCGTTGATAGGTACAAGTGCAATATCCAAGTTGAAACCGACCATAGACAACTTGAGATGCTAAGTCAAAAAGAGAATGAAGGCTTTACTTCTTTTTTTAATAAATGGAGGGAAACTTCCGCCAAGATGATTGAGGTCCCCACCGAAAAGGAGTCTGTGAGGATGTTTATCAAGAATCTCCAAGAAAAGTATTCAAAGCACTTAGAATATCAACACAACTTGAATACTTTCAAGGTCGTTTATGACATCGGAATTGAAATCGAAGACGACCTCGCAAAGCAAAAAGCTACTAACAATAGTAACCACGGTGGCTGGAAAGGAAAGAACAACGACAATCCTTCTTCTTCCGAAAACGCCCACTCCAGTAATAATGAGTCAAAAATATAGGATTTTACACGTAGGAAATTTGAGAAATTTCTTTCACAACTAGGACTGAAATAACACCACGCAAAACTGGAAGATTTTATCGAGCACAGAAAGCTGCTGAGGCATGTGGGAAGTAGCGTCAGGGGCCAGAGCTTGGCGCCACACTTTTATCCTTAGCGCCAGACGCCAGTATTGGCGCCAGGCGCTACAGGTAAAAGTTGGCGCCAGTCTCTGTTTGCTGGCGCCAATTTCCCTAAATACCGAGCCAGAAATATGCGTTCTAATTGTTGGGGTTTAGTGAGTCCGACTCACCGCGGAAACAACCCCGACCCGAGGAACCACTCGCAATAATTAAAATCATAAAGCATAAATAAATAATCACAAAGAAAAGATAACGAATCTTACCCTCGAAGCGAGCTTCACCCAAAAAATCGTGGCTCTTACTTGAAAGCTACGAGCACGTCAAGCGCCGCGCCTCCGACGGTATCCACCCACAAAAAGGCGAACACAACTTTAAGGTCCGCTACCTTGGGGTAAACAAGGTCCGACCAAAACCCGAGTGTTATATGAGTTTAAGAGTTTTCCCAAAAATTATGGAATGCTCTTTTTAACTCCCACTCAAGCACTTCACTCCAAATGCCAAGGTTGGTATTTATAGAGGAAAGTATGAGTGGGAATTTCTATCCCATCAATGTGGGATCATGAAATTCCACAAATTAATTTAAAGTTAAATTAAATTAAAATTGCAAACTAAAAATAAATCTACAAGTGGCATTACCATGTGAGATGGGTTGGTGAGGACCACATGGAGAGTAGGGGACCATACTTGCTCCCCACTCAATACTCTCCTTGTGCCACATGTCCTCTCCCACTTGCTCCCATATTCTATGTTTCCCCTTAATCCACGGCCCTATGGACCGAGCCAAGCCACGAGACAATCCCGAGCCCGGCCCGAGCCCAGCCCGCATCCAGCTGCTGCTGTGGCGCGGTGCGGCTGCTGTTGTGGCGCGGCGCGGCTGCTGCTGTGCTAGCGTGCCTAGCCGCGGCAGCTAGCTGCTGCACGCACCACGTGCTGCGGCTGCTAGCTGATGCTGGTCGTGGCTGCTAGCACGGTGCGCTAGCACGCACCAGCCAGCCATGCTAGGCTCGGCTTGGTGCTTTCTAGCCACCTTTTCTATGACATTTTTGCCCCTAGAATTAGGATGCTCGGGGCACTCCGATGCTAGGGGTATTTTGGGAATATGGTCGATTTATTATTATTTTTGCGCATCTCGTCTTTTATTATTTTGACTCGACTTCCGACGATCGGTTTCGACACTCTAAGCTCGAATTACCGACGTCTAAATATTTAACACTCGGGCGACGAATTAATTTCTTCCGAATTAATTCGTCGAGTTGGTTCGTATATTTTGCTTGGGTGTGACCCGAAGGGTTCAGTCAAGATTAAGCTGTAATATTAGTTATATTAATATTACTGATCGGAAGCGGCCTCCACCCAGGCATTCCGTTCACTTGACCTTACTGAATATATTAGCTTTCTAATAATTCTGAACCCGCTATCAGAATAATACACTTGTTCGAAGGACACCATTCCTTTCCCACTTGTCCTTCCGGACAAGTGTGCATTAAGTGTATAGCCCTTATCCTATGTCTCATCATGTCTCTTCATGAACTACAAAGTAAGATTACTAGTCATCTCTGTTATGTCCAGAAGTGTTTCTCGAAATCCGAGTTTGACTGTTAATAAGCAGATGATTTCTAAAATCCATCTGAGCACGACCATGAATTTTTCACAGTCTCGCTCTTCGA